CAGCCGACCCTGTCGGTCCCCTACACCTTCACCAACAACAAGGAGCCCAACTCCAACACGTTCGCCAACAACGCCACCTTCAACGCCGAGCAGCGGGCGCTGTACGATGCGCACCAGCCCAGCGCCTACTCCATCGTGGCCTCGCTGAGCACCAACATCGCCGTCCTGTCGCTCCAGGACGCGACCCCGTCGTACCACGGCATCGCCCGGTCCGCGGCCAACGCCAACCCGGCCGACTCGCTGCCCGCGGGCACTGACCCGACCGTGCTGGCGGGCTACGTAGCCCAGCGCGCCCTGATCCTGTCCCAGTTCGAGTCGCCCAACATCGGCGTCGGCACGGTCAGCTGGGGCACCGGCGACGCGGCACAGGTGTACCATCTCCGCCCTCTGTCCCGCGGATCCGTCAACATCGCGTCGACCGACCCGCTCGCGACCCCGCTGATCGACTACCGCACCGGCACCGACCCGGTCGACTGGCGCGTGTACTTGGCCATCTTCCGCAAGAACCGCGAGCTGTTCGCCACGCCGGCGATGCAGGCCCTCGGCCCCGTCGAGGGCGCCCCCTTTGGCCTCAACGTCACCACCGACGAGCAGATCGTCGCCGTCATGAAGGACCTCGTCAACCCGTCCAACGCCCACCAGTGCTGCACGGCCGCCATGCTGCCCAAGGCCCTCGGCGGCGTCGTCTCGCCCCAGCAGAAGGTCTACGGCGTCCAGGGCCTGCGCGTCGCCGACATCAGCTTCTGGCCCATGGAGGTCTCGGGCGCCCCCACCGCCACCATGTACGCCGCCGGCGAGAGGCTCGCCGACGTCATCAAGCAGGAGTACTCGCTGATCTAATTATAATGGTACGAGTGGAGGATCATGATTGACATTATGCCATGAATTATTACGTATGAGCCATTTTGAATGCCTAGCGAATATTATTAATTATACCCTTATGATACTTGGTAATTACCTAGGTAGTTCACCGGTGTCACGAGAAGTTTGTTTGCATCTTGATTATCCACATGCGCGTTCACATGTTGGACTCATTTTGTCAGTCCCCTCGGGTTCCCCCTTTCCTCCGGCCTTTGTTTATTACCCTACATACATCCCCTCTCCCGTTAACCATTAACACCATGCTAAACAGACTGTGCGTGATTTAATCTGCCTATTTGGTCGTACACTTTAAAACACTGCACGATCAAAACAACCTTTTCCCAACTGCATAATAGGGAAATTAAACAAGGTACGGGTATGCTCCCCGCTTACGGGCTATTGTTGTTCTAGCGGCCGATCGTTTATCGTCCAAGCACACGAAGTGCATGATTAACATGCGGTTGGTTGGTTATGCGGCAGTCTCGTTTTGCAAACGGGATCCCACCATGTGTCCCCCGAGAGTGCGTGCGCATGCGGCTATTAATATCGGGCCAAGGCTTGTTTCTGCGCGAGTAGCAAGGTACCTTGATTACCTTACCTATATGTCCCTGCACGTGTTTCATACGATGCAGTACCACTGTGTTAAGGTGCATGACAGGCTAGCTTCGATATAACTCCCATTCAAGCCAATTGCGGACTCGTCCAACATTGGATTGAAGCCCACCTAACGTTAGTCAATAGGTGATTACTGCGCTTGATTCTCATGCTCCGACCACAGGTCGCTGAAAGGTGACCACAGCGAGGAAACAAACGGTCTTTGAGGAAGGATCCAGCTGATAGCAATGTGCGATCCCAATCACGGAGCGTCCGCACAAGGCAAATTTTTCATGATCTTTGACTTCAAGTGAGAGCCATTGATAATGGCCTGGGGCTTGGGAAAGGGGGGGTGCGTGTGCCAGTCCAGGGCAGCCGTCAGGGGTCATGCACGGTTCAGGGGTAGGATGTTGTAATTGTATGTACATATATGGCCCGTCTTTTCCTCTTTTTCTGAAGGGGAAGGAGGAAGGGGGGACATTAGAAATTCACCACTTATCAGTTGCACAAGACGTTCAGCCGATCAGGGCTTCCGCCTCCCTGTGATCAGAGAGAGGCGCTCGTTGTTTTGTGACTGCGGCTTATCTGTGGCCTGTAGTCTTCTTTTTCAGTTGTTTTGTTAATTTTTTCTGGTGCATGCGTAGGCACCTGCTCAATAACCGAACCCAAGGCTGAGGTCATTGTTCTTTTCTCTATAAGACTGAGGATCATAGATGCTCTAGGCACCTTGATCAATCAATCACATAATGCAGGACATAATTACAGTATATCAAGATTGTGAGCAGAACTGGATCCAACCAGAATTGACCAATAACAACCTACCTTTACAAGTCGTGCTTCGGGTTTCCTGTTCTTGCCTCATGTCCCACGTTAACACCGTTAACAACAAATGGGGGTCATCCTTGAGCCAGTTCAGGTTGCGCTTCAGTCATGTTGTTGTTAATTGATAGGCCATGCATGACGAGCTTTTTGATCTTCAAAACTGGAATACTGGTATCAACTGAGCAGCACCTTCGGCAATCGAGCAAAGAATACCATTTTCTCTTCAGGCTTTCTTTCACCCTTGAGGATTCATTTCGCTCAATGAAAACGCTTGGACATGATTCAGGTCGTCAGCAAACGGGTGGAGTTTTGCTGCTCGTGATACACGAAATATCACTTCAGCACGTCTCGAACCCGTTCAGTTGAGGCGGGCGCTCCTCAGGCCCAGCAGTTAACCCGTCAGAGGGCCGCGCAGGCTCAACGTTGCCCCAAGAATCGCCTTCCCGCAGGGCAAAAGCGGACCCACTATTCTTACCCCCCTACCGCCCCCAAATGCCGCTAAATCCGGCTACGGTGTCCGATTCGGGTTCCGCGGGGATCAACGAGGGGGCTCGGAGAGAGATCGGAGATGCTGAGACTGTGAGGCGACATCTCCGAGACGGGCAGTTACAGACTCGGACCAAGCGCGGCTCTAAGCACGCAACTTGCACCCCATCCCCCTACATTAAAACCAATTGTCCTTTTTTGCCTTTGCTTCGCCAGTCTGGGTGATGAAGCGTCTCACTCGATTTTTCCTTTACCAGACGCTCCTTCTTGTTGTCGCTATTCTCGCCCGTCTTTTTATTTTCACAGGTCCACCGCCAACGCACAACAGCAACACAGCAGCAGACATGGCTGTATCGACATTGCGGAACGTTGTGGTTGTGGGGGGCTCATATGTTGGCGTTGTGAGTTTTGATTGATGGACAGATGGGAAATGAAGCTTGCCCGCCGGGAATCATGATGTGAAACTTATGGGTTGCTGACATGTGTGTGTCTCGGTTCCATCCAGGCTGCAGCAACAGAGTTGGCGAGTTTGCTGCCGGCAACACACCGTGTACGTTGATACAACCACCAATTGGACCACGCAATGGTAACACCTTGACATTTGATCTTGAACTGACTCCCGACACAGGTCCTCCTAATCGAGCCTCACAGCCATTTCCACCACCTATTCGCCTTTGTAAGATTCCCCTGCCCCTTTTCAGCAAGAGACAAATGCGCTAACCCGTAACTCAACTCAAAAGCCTCGCTTTGCAATCGTGCCCGGCTTCGAACACAAGGCCTTCATCCCCTACACCAGCCTCTTTGCAGGCTACCCAAATGCCCAGCACGAGGTTGTCAGAGCAAGGGCGGTGTCCCTGCAACCGCAGCAGCTCACTCTCGACCGAGAATGGCACGGCTCCAAGCAGCTGTCCTTCGACTACCTCGTCGCCGCCACAGGCAGCCGGCTCTCCCCGCCGGGCGCCATGGAGGACGACGACAAGGCGCCCTCGGTCGCCTATCTCCAGGCCTACCAGCAGGGCATCAAGAGATCCAACTCGGTCACCGTCATCGGCGGCGGCGCCGTCGGCGTCCAGATGGCCTGCGACCTGAAGGAGGTCTACCCGGAGAAGGACATCACCCTGATCCACTCCCGCAGCCAGCTCATGCCCGTCTACCACGAAGGCCTGAGCAACCTGATCAAGAAGCGCTTTGCCGAGCTGGGCATCAACCTCGTCACCGAGAGTCGCGTGGTCGTCCCGGCCGGAGGGTTCCCAACCACCGGCACCAGCCCCTTTGAGATCACGCTCCAGGATGGCCGCACGCTCACCACCGACTTTGCCATCGTGGCGACAGGCCAGATCCCCAACAAACAGTTCATCACGGCGCCGGGCGGGCTGGAGCCCTCGGCGCCCGACTCGCTCATCAACCCCAAGAGCGGCTACGTCCGCGTGCGGCCGACGCTGCAGTTCAGCGACCCAAAGTACCCGCACCTGTTTGCCGTCGGCGACATTGCCGACTCGGGCGCCCACAAGGCCGCGAGACCGGGTGCAGTGCAGGCGGCCGTGGCGGCCAAGAACATCGCGGCCATGCTGGCTGGGGGCGCGCCGAGCGAGACCATCACGGTGGCGCCGGCGGGGATACATCTGACGCTGGGTTTGGTAGGTTCATCATGCATGCGTGACTTGTTCCTGAAACCAGGGCCTGACTGACCTCACTCAACACATTGAAATCCTGGGCCAAGTTACAGGTAACTAACCGCCGGGAAACAACACAGACACAAAACGTCATCTTTAGAAATCCCGCCGCGGACCAGACGGAGCCGTTTATCAACTTGAAAGACGAGTAAGTTTGATTCTCACGTCCCCGGCCCCTTAACCGGGCTTCGAACCAAAACACTGACACCCACTGCGCAAAACAACAGCGGGAGTAGGGATATGAACATTGACGGGATATGGGCGCGCCGCGGGATCAAGGTTGCAAGCCCGCAGGATTACCACTTGTAGGCCTGCCTATCTTGAAGAGACATGGAGAGAGAGGAGAGATATCGTGCATGCGTGTATCGAGTGGTGCTTAGTGGCTATGACTGCCGGTGATACTGTCAACTGTCGCCAGCCTAACTAACCCTTAGCCGGGCGATTGCATGCTGAAAGGAGGCGGGAAAAAAGGGATGAAAAAGGACAATAAACATGGCAAACCGAAGAGGTTTGAGAACAAAAAAAAGAAAGGAATCAGATTCTAACATCTGACGCCGGGAATTGAGCCCGACGTGGGGGTCGAACCCACAGCCTTGAGATTATCTGTAGTCCGGATGGGAACTCGAAGAATAAGAGTCTCACGCTCTACCGATTGAGCTAGCCGGGCTTGTGAAGCCAGTGGTTCTTTTGGATGCAGATTTGGACGGGTATTGTCCGTCACGTAATGGACCTTGCCGGGTGGGTGGATTGTGAAAACTCTGACGGCAAAAGAAAATGGGAGAAAAAAAGTGGATGGATGGCCCCACTTGTTCCTTTTTAACCCTACGTATCCCCTATTTAATCAATTAGGGCTACATGCATACCTGATATCGTCAAATACATGTGATGACCCGACGCGGCTGATTCCCTTCTTCCTTGACCTCCACCTAGCCGCGACAAAATACATTTTCTCAAAAGCTCTCACCCTGCCTTCTCGATGGGCGGCCCCTTGGCAATTCCATATCCCCATTCATCCCCGCTGTCCTCTTCTATAACCGGCGTGTGTGTGCTGTCGAAGAAGGTCGTCAGACTCGCAGCCACCGTGGGTGGAGGAGCCACCGGCGACGGTGCATAGTAAAACGTCGCGGTCTTGTTGGCGGCGGTGGTGGTGTTGGTATGACTCTCGTCGACGGTAGTGTAGGCGCACGGTTGGTAGTCGGACAGGTTACCGGTTGCCGTGTATGGGATGATGGCTATGGTGGCGCCGTTCTTGCACACGCAGTGGTTGTCGACGCCTTCGTCGGGGTTTGCCTCATTCACGCAGAATGGGTCCGTCGTGAGCTGCGCGACGGGGAGGGTGGTCCATGATGGCGACGTGAATGTCGACAGGCTGGCGAAGGGGGTGGTGAGAAAGGAAAGGGAGGAGATGTAGGAGATGGTGGTCTCCGAGGTCGTCGCGGAGCACACACAGCTTGTCGGGGGTGTCGTCGGCGGTGGGAATGTTTCGGAGGACGGGATCGAGTGGACGGCGGAGCTGAAGACTGAAAGAGAGGCAAGGCCGGCTGAGCTAGAGACGGAAATCGAGCTAAGGACAGTCGAACTGGGGTCGGAGAGCGAGGAGAGGGTGCCATCTACCGGATAGATGGAGCTGACTTCGCTTTCAAGAGGAGAAGAGCTCAAAGTCAGGCTGGTTATTGTCGGCTGGTCGGCTGTGTCTGCGGAAGAGACGGAGGTCTGCCGCCCTTGCAGGATACCGATTCGTGCTGCGGGTGCAAGCGAGGAGAAGAGGAGAAAGAGAAATTGAAGCTTGGCGGTGGGGATGGGCTGCATCACCGTAGACATCGCTCGTAAACAGGGGAAGGCACGTGCTATCTTCTTTTAGGATGGTTCTAGGTTCTAGGTTTTCGGATTGATACGATGGAGTGATTGAGGAGGGCAAAGAATGAACTCTGAATTCCACGGTATGTGCAAGATGCTGCAGGCAAGGAGTGTAGATTTAAATCAAGAACAAACACTCGGGGACACAGATCGTTCTGTGCTTGCTGGCGACGAGGCCGGGCTTGCGCGGCAGGAACATTGGAACCATCGCATCATCGCCACGTTTTTTGTGTGACTGGCTGCCAGAACCCGTCCCTCGATCTTTCCCCCTGTACCTTCCGGATCTCGACTGTTTGCCACCTGGGTTTAACCCGACAACTCCTTCTCCCATCCATTCAAGACAGCGTAGTGCCTAGGCGTGTGTCCATGTTTGTCAGTTGCCGTAACATCAGCGCCGTGCTGAAGAAGCATCTGCATCATTTTTGGCACGCGTCCTTCGATATCGGTGTACGTTCTGCGCTCGGTATCGATACAGTCCCGTGAGGTAAAATCATGGGCAACACCCGTCATAGAAAGTTGGCAAACTGCATGAAGCGCAGTCATGCCATCCTCTGAGCGAGCATGAACTGACGCACCGGCCTCGAGGAACATGCAGACAAGGTCCTCGGTGAAGCCTAGTGTCCCGCCTGGCGAATGTACTCGCTGTAGCACATACAGCAGCGGGGTGCGCCCCTCGGGGTTCTTGATGTCGATGGGCATAGTCTCGAGAAGCATCTGGATTAAGCGCAACTTCTTTTGCGGGTAGCTGCTGCTTACAAAGTCGAGAAGCCAGAATATGATAGGAGAACCCAGCTCGGGCTGCATTGGTACGTTCATGGACGTTGATTTTGGCTGCTGGATCAGAGCCCGGGCTTTGCGTTCATCCTCATGGGAAAGGCTATTATCGCCTACATATATCATGGCCAACAAGTACTGGAGATTCGTCATGATTGCTTGCTCGTGCTTAAGAATGCTGAGGCGGTGAACAGGATCGTCGTCTGCTGAGACCACCCAGGCCTCGATTGACGCTCCGTGTCCCAAGAGGAGCTCGAACGACTCTAGTGGAATCAGATGAGTACCTTCAACGAGGCATGTCGCCCTGGGAAAGGAAAATCATGAATCCCCCGAGTCCTTCCAAGACAGGCCGACCTGCGAGTGCAGGGCGACTGTGACATCGTAGAAGCTGGTTGGGTTTTGAAGCAGGCAGAGCCGGGCGAACTTTGTGTTTAGTACAGGGTCAGGGACGTGCAAGGCCACGCCAATGGCCGAAAGAGGGCGGAAGCCTTTGATTGCCTTGCCTCCATATTGTACCAAAAGATCAACGACGTCTGCCCTTTCGTGCATCATGGCGGCAATGACGGGGTTCATGAAAGACCTGGGATTGTATGGCGCGGCGCCGTTGTCAAGCACCAATCGGACAACCTCCAGGGACACGTTGGCATTCACCATGGCATCGAGGGGCGGATGGGAACCGCCGCTGCCACCCAACGCGTTGATGTGTTCTCGAGCTCCAGCGGCTAGCAGTGTGCGAACCATGTCCAAGTCCTTGGCGAAGTGAAGAGCTCGCCTCCGATCCATGCCAACACGGGCGATGTTGGCCTTGTGTGCAATCAGAAGCTTGACAAGCTCGAGGTGACCGTGATCGATGGCGATATGCAGATACACCACCGAATGCTTTCTTCCATGTTTTCGGCTGCCAATTCTGGTTGAGTAGGTACGATCAATCTTGGCACCGTAGTCGAGGAATTTCTTCACGCCGCCGGTGCTTCCCATAGACACGCGCGGCTCATGCCACGAACGCAGCTCCTCCAGTCGCGAACATTTAAGCGGTATAGAATGGGGTTGAGGAGAGATGATAAAAGTCCCTGCATGTGAGAGCCAAGCTGTGGATGTCCGGAGTGCTGAGGGAGCCCGCGACTATTGGGATGAGTTCGGCGGGAAGACTGCCGAGACTCGTGGTAGGGGGCGCGCCACTCATGGTTGTCTGTCTTGGTCGCCAATAGCCACTCGGTCGTTGATCAGTCCTTTTTGGAGCCTGTTTGGCTGTTCAGGTAGTGGCTGTGCTCCAAGGGCTGTTGTGCTGATGGCCTGATGCTGGCGAAGTGGAATGAAGGCAGAACGAGATTGGCCAGAACAGGACTGAAAATCCGTGTCGAATGCTCTGTAACTGTGGCGAGGATGTTGTGTTGTTGTGAGGCCATTCGCGAGTGGTCAAAGTGCGCGTAGAGGATCGACGCGCTGAGAAGAATTGAAACGTGTCAGCAGATGGGAGGCCGCAGCGCAGGCCGCAAAGCTGGATCGAGTTTGCCCAATGTGTTTTAGGCGTTGTTCGGGTGTCCTCGTCGCTACCAACATCCAACAGGCAGGCGCGTCTGCCTAAGGTAGTTTGGTCAGGCAGTTCCTGAGGCGGCTGTGCCATCACGTCCCCGCTTTTACTGTCAAGACCCCTCCTTCTTTTCTTCTCTTTTGAGGTTCGACTTGATCAAACACTCACCGCATTGCAGCTGCTTCATTGTCATCAATCAAAACCAAAAAACTTATCATATTCGTTCCATATAAACACCATCCTCATGAGGGCCATGAATCTCGACGGCTGGGACGACTTGAGCGACCTGCCCGACGAAAAGTGTCACAAACCGGAGAAAGACGAGCCGTTGCCCATGCGTTACCTGGACCCGAGTCCGGCCTACGAAGACGCCGTGATTCCCCGCCGGCCTGACGAGCCCCCCCGTCTCACTGTCGTAGGCGCCACATGGGGCGGCATCAATGTGATCAGGGACATTGAGGCGATGAGGAGTGCCAGCGCCGAGATCGACCTCGACATGTGCACTCTGCACCGTGTGCTCGTCCCTGATCCTGCCTATGGCGTGGTCAAGACCCTGACGCTCCTGTATCACTACGATGGCGACGACACCATGCACCTGCTCAACGCGACGGAGCATGGGAGCTGCATCAAGATCTGCCCCGGAGCCCACGAGCATCCAGCACACGCGAACCTGATTGCGGACGTGGATAACACTTGGTGCCGCCAGGGCCGATCAGGGCCATACGGCGTTGAAATTCTCGCTGTTCTCTATGGGCCACAGAAGATCGAGACGCCGTCGGTGCTGAAGGACCTGGCCAGGTTCTTCGAGGGCAGTTACGGCCAGATTCGCATGACCAATGCCTTTTTCAAGGTCGATCCGTGGCCGGGCGTCAGAAAGTCGTGGACTGTGTACTTTCGATTTGTGGGCTCGTCGAGAATCCAGTGCGTCACGGGCATGGAGGATGGTGCACTTGAAGAGCCGTGGACCCGGCATTAAAAGGTGGCGTGCTGTTGTTGTCGGTGGACCGGGTGCCGCGTGGATACTGCTTGTCTTTTTACTCTCTGGCAATTTGTCGACATACAATCAGTTTATTGTAGCATGTGGCAGAGAGATAACTGTCCGTATTATGCCGATATAAGTGTGGAACCCACGAGCCACTTGTAAGCTCGCTCATAGCGCATGTGTATACACCACAAGGAAATCAAGTTGCCCAGCCAGCTAGTTACGTAGTTCGTTGAATGCATTACCAACTTCAAGTTCTCATGGACCCTAGTCTAATATGCAGCAAATTCTTGAACAATTACTACCTACCTGAGGTACACTGTAGCTAACTAGCAAACAAATCACGATTGCATGGGCAAATGCAAGCGTCGGGGACCTGGTGCGGCGCAACGGGCACCAGCAAGGCAGAATGGCCGCCACAGACTTAGCTCGATTGGGTGAAGAAGTCCAAATAGAATGGAGATCCCCCCACAGAACGACATCCAGTCCGGGGAGGATATGCCAAGCTCGAAATGGAAGCTTC